GGGGCAAATCAAGGACGAAATGTCAAAAGTTTTTAAAATCAACAGAAAATGCTGCTACTAAAGAAGAATATGAGGACCTGAAAAATAAACTCTCAGAGGGAAAAGTTGAGACTGAAAAACTTGAAAACAAACTTGCAAATCTGGAGAAACAGATTTCTGAAGAAAAGAAAGGACAACTAGAGGCTGAGAAAGAACATGCAGATTTAAAAAAGAAATTTACTATTCTTGAGACAATAATGGAAGAGCAAAAAGAGGTAAAATGTTTTAGCTATTGTTTGTTTCCACTTAAGATACCAGTTCATGTATTGCATTCAGCCATGGTTTTAAGATAACTAATGTTTGTATAAACCAGTATTATTTGCTTGTCAAGGCACACAATAAGGTTAGCAAGCTTTGTTATTATGTCTCCCCCACCTCGGGGGGAGACATATTGTTTTTGCCCTGTCCGTCAGTCCGTCAGTCCGTCCGTCAGTCCGTCAGTCCGTCCATTCTTCGTTTCCGGACGATAACTAGAGTTCCTTTTGACCTACAGCCCTCAAACTTCATAGGATGATTGGTCTTATAGAGCTGATGATCCCTATTGTTTTTGGGGTCAGTAGGTCAAAGGTCAAGGTCACACTGACCGTTGGTCAATTTCTCGTTTCCGGATGATAACTAGAGTTCCTTTAGACCTACAGACCTCAAACTTCATAGGATGATTGGTCTTATTGAGCAGATGATCCCTATTGTTTTTGGGGTCAGTAGTTCAAAGGTCAAGGTCACAGTGACCGTTGGTCAATTTCTCGTTTCCGGATGATAACTAGAGTTCCTTTTGACCTACAGCCCTCAAACTTCATAGGGATGATTGGTCTTATAGAGCAGATGATCCCTATTGTTTTTGGGGTCAGTAGTTCAAAGGTCAAGGTCACAGTGACCGTTGGTCAATTTCTCGTTTCCGGATGATAACTAGAGTTCCTTTTGACCTACAGCCCTCAAACTTCATAGGATGATTGGTCTTATAGAGCAGATGATCCCTATTGTTTTTGGGGTTAGTAGGTCAAAGGTCAAGGTCACAGTGACCGTTGGTCAATTTCTCATTTCCGGATGATAACTAGAGTTCCTTTTGACCTACAACCCTCAAACTTCATAGGATGATTGGTCTTATTAATCAAATGATCCCTATTGTTTTAATGGTCAGTAGGTCAAAGGTCAAGGTCACAGCGACCGTTGGTTAATTTCTCCTTTCCGGATGATAACTAGAGTTCCTTTAGACCTACAACCCTCAAACTTCATAGGATGATTGGTCTTATTGAGCAGATGATCCCTCTTGTTTATGGGGTCAGTAGGTTAAAGGTTAAGGTCACAGTGACCATTGGTCATTTTCTCATTTCCGGATTTCTCCAGTTCCATTCCTGTTTCCATTCACAGTTATTCTCAGCAGTGGGGGAGACATGCGCTTTTTTACAAAAGCATCCTCTAGTTTCATGATACATATTGTCATCCACTTTTTATCTCACCTGAACACAAAGTACTCAAGGTTGATCTTTTGTGATCACTCTGCGTCCGGCATGCACCCTTCAAAAAAATGGCGTTTAACTCTTAACACATCTTTATACCAATTGGCTGATATTTTAAATCTAAGCAGTAATATTTCTAGCATGAAGCCCTTTAAAACTGATTAAAAGAATTCCATTCAATGCTAAATTCTGGTTGCCATTGCAACTAATAGAAAAACCTTAAAAAACCTTTTAAATCAGAAAGCGCTATAGCTTAGATATTTTGCATGAAACTTATTCCAGTGGGTCACTACCAAGTTTGCTCAAATGAAAACCATGAGATAAAAATTTGCCTGTCCATGGGGGCCATTGATTTTCCTGATATGTATATAGTAATAAAACACCACAAACCTTCTTTAAAAAAACCCAGAGCCTTAGCTTAGATATTTAATACGAAACATCTTCTAGAAGTTCTTTACCAAAATTGTTCAAATAAAAGCCTTGGGGTCAAAATTGGCCCTGCCCAATAGGATAAATGATGTTCCTTATCTGTAAATAGGAAAAATAAATCTTCTGTTATATTACAGAAGCTTAGATATTGGGCATATACAATGTAACATGACCTCTACACAAAATTGTTTAAATTATAGCCCCCGCACCGCCCTGGGGTTACATTGATTTACCTTATATGTTTATAGTAAAAAAAAACTTTTTAAAAATCTTCCCTGAATCTACAGGAGCTAAAGCTAAGTTTCCATAGCAATCAGCGACTTCATAGCAGCCATTGACTTTTCATAGGAAACTGTAAAATTTCATAGCAACGAGCGAACATTAACTTTCCATGGCAACAAGTGAAACAACCATTGAATTTTGTATCAGGAACTAACTTTCAAGGAAACCATTTATTATATATTATGTTATACCCCCTGGCATAAGTCCGTCCATCTGTCCGTCCATACATACCCAGAGGTACTAATGATAATGTGTGACTTAGAGAACAATGGGTAACAGTAAAATTCTCTTTGATCCTATTCATTCTGTTTTTACTTGTGTGTCTTTTTTTAAGCCTTGTGTGACTAAAAATGGCCAAAAAGATCAAAGGAAAAGTCACATAAGTACCATTTTGTGAGTATGTCCGTCCGTCTGTCTGTCTGTCTATGCCATTTAAAAGAAGTAGAGTTTATAGGTACACACATTTTATTGCAATGACTCTTACAAATGCTTCATCCTTACTAAAAAAAAACAGTTTCGAGCATATAATGCTCTACCTAGGGGTGCTCTTGTTAAAAATAGGTCAAAAGTAAAGGTTAAATGTTAGCTATGCTTTCTCATCATTTAATGTAAGCAGTTCTTTCTCATGGTGATGGTCACACTTACAGGTTAAATGTTAGCTATGCTTTCTCATCATTTAATGTAAGCAGTTCTTTCTCATGGTGATGGTCACACTTACAGGTTAAATGTTAGCTATGCTTGTTTATAGTGAAGATACCACTTAAAAGTTCAATGTAAACTATACTGGCTCATTGTTAAGGTTACACGTAAATGTTAAATATTATAATATATCTTGTTTGTTACGTAAGGCTTTTACCCGTTGAAGGATTTTCTTCAATCATTGCTCAGTTTACACAATTCAGCACTGATAAATGTTGAGTTTGTTGTCCAGTGACAGATTTTATTATTAAATAAGGAATAGAACTTTGAACTTTGATAATTCTGATGATAATTTTAGTTTCAAATTTGTACCAATTAGAAACATTATAAAATGTGACCTGATGACCTATTCCTAAATTGCAGAGCAATTTCTTACAAATAATTTTGGGCAAGTGATTAAATAGGGTGATAATGATGTTTGTTGTGCTAAAATATAATAATGAAATAAAAAAGTACACAATTCGGTTACCTTTGGGTTTTAAATACCATTTATAATTACATCTTAATAACGTCTTGTTGATTAGTTTTGAACTAAAATGTATTTTGTGAAGTAAAGAAGATGAGTTGTTTTGCAGGAGATGGCAAAAATTAAGACAAAACCTTCCTCAGGTCAAAGTCAGGCAGAATTTGAGCAAACCAAGCTAGGTGAGTAAATATTTGTTTTGATGATGTACATAAAAGTGTATGATATTGCCATTAATATAAAAAACAGCTGAATATCATTGTTACTTTATTATTTTAGAAATTTATATAATGATTTGGTACTCTGGATCATACAATATCATTAAATTTATAATATTATTAAATTGATGCAATTAACATTTAATTATATCCAACCACATTATGTGGTTGGTGCTATACTGGAGTTACTTTGTGGCATAATTATGTCAGTCATTATACCCCGGCAAAACAAAGTTGTAAGGGGGGTATACTGGAATCAGCTTGTCCGTCCGGCTGTCCAGCCGTCCGTCCGTCGTTTTTTTCTTGTCTGCCCAATAACTTAAGATTCCTTTGACCCACAGTCTTCATATTTGGCATGCAGGTTAGTCATGATTAGTAGATGACCCCTATAGATTTTGAGATCACCAGGTCAAAGGTCAAGGTCACAGGGGCCTTGACATCAAAAAACTTGTCCGCCCAATAACTTAAGATTCCTTTGACCCACAGTCTTCATATTTGGCATGGAGGTTAGTCATGATTAGTAGATGACCCCTGTTGATTTTGAGGTCACCAGGTCATAGGTCAAGGTCACATGGGACCTTGACATAAAAAAGCTTGTCCGCCAAAAAACGTAAGATTCCTTTGACCCACAGTCTTCATATTTGGCATGGAGGTTAGTCATGATTAGTAGATGACCCCTATTGATTTTGAGGTCACCAGGTCATAGGTCAAGGTCACAGGGGCCTTGACATCAAAAAGCTTGTCCGTCCAATAACTTAAGATTCCTTTGACCCACAGTCTTCATATTTGGCATGAAGGTTAGTCATGATTAGTAGATGACCCCTGTTGATTTTGAGGTCACCAGGTCATAGGTCAAGGTCACAGGGGCCTTGACATCAAAAAGCTTGTCCGCCCAATAACTTAAGATTCCTTTGACCAACAGTCTTCATATTTGGCATGGAGGTTAGTCATGAATAGTAGATGACCCCTGTTGATTTTGAGGTCATAGGTCAAGGTCACATGGGGCCTTGACATCAAAAAGCTTGTCCCCCCAATAACTTAAGATTCCTTTGACCCACAGTCTTCATATTTGGCATGGAGGTTAGTCATGATTAGTAGATGACCCCTATTTATTTTGGGGTCACCAGGTCAAAGGTCAAGGTCACAGGGGCCTTGACTTCAAAAAGCTTGTCCGCCCAATAACGTAAGATTCCTTTGACCCAAAGTCTTTCATATTTGGCATGGAGGTATTTGGCATGGAGGTTAGTCATGATTAGTATATGACCCCTATTGTGATTTTGAGGTCAACCAGGTCAAAGGTCAAGGTCAAATGTCTGTTCACAGTTTTTTTCTTTTTTAAAAAGGTAAAAATAAAAGACAGAAAAATAGAATCGTCTATAAATTGTAAAAAATGTTTTTAAAATTTGGGCCCATAACTGTTTACTAAGAAACATCAAAGACAAAACTACAGCTAAAAAATTTTAAAGGGAAAGGGGGAACCCGGGTTGAAGGTCAAAAAAAAATATAAATTTAAATCTCTCCCTTTTTAAAAATCCACCCCCGGCCCAGGTTTTTTTCCTTCAAATTTGGAGTTCTTTCCAAAAAGGAATGGGAAACCAAGCCAGGGCCTTTCCAGCAAAAGGAAAGGTCCCCTTTTAAAGGGACATCGGCAAAATAAAAACTTTTTTCCTCAAAACAACCAGGGGTTTCTTCAAGGCAAACAATTTTGGGAATAAAAAATAAAATTTCCCATCAATTTTTGGGGAAAACACGAAGGTTTTTCTAAAACTTGCCCCTAAAAAAGGGGAAAATCCCAGAAAAAAGAAGTTTCTTTGCGGGCCTTTTTTGTTCTAAAAATAAAATCCCCACCTTTAAAATATCTTAAAAAACCCATCAAGATAAAAAAAAGGGGAGCATAAAGTTTTCCCCAAAAAAAATTTTTTAAGTTTTTTGGAAATGTGTTTCAAAAACCTTTTCCCCCTATGCTCTAATCAGCCATAAATTTTTTGAAATAAATTTCAAAATTTTAGAATGAAACGTTTGAAAGCCAAAACAAAACCCCTAGCTCCAAAAATTAACATGCGGAAAAAGTTTTTAGCATTAAATCTTTGGGATACCCCCCACCCAAAAAAGGGGGCTCTGGGCAGAGTGGTTTAGGTTTTGACTTAAAAACCAAATTTCCCCTCCCCCTGGGGGTTGAACCCCGACGGGGATTTTGGTTTTTTTCATGTGAGGAAGCTATCCCCCTAGCTTATGGAACTCATATTTCCCACTCAGGTGGGGTTGGGGCCCTAAAAAAATGCCCCGGGAAAGGGAAACCTGGGGTTTTCCCTCCACCATAAAGCGGGAAGTCGCCATATGACCAACTGTTGGGGTTGACAAAAAACCCAATCAAATTAACAAAAAAAAAACCAAATCAAAAAAATGATCTTTGAAAAATTACAGAGTTTATATTTTTTAATTTTTGTCCGGTAACAAAAAACAGTTTTGCCCCAAATCCCTTTTAAATTTTTATAAACCCAGCCACGCCCTTTTCAAAAAGGCTTTTTTTAAAACCCCCAAAACAAAAGTTTAGGGGGGGGGGTAAATTAAAAGGGTTTTAAGTTTGTCGTCGGTCGGTCGTTGGCGGCCACGCAGGTTTAGGAATGAGATATTTTTTAAAAAAATTTGGCCCGTATAGCAAGTTTAGGGCAAACCGGGGTTGGTATTGAAATTTGGGGCCCCGGGGTCAAGTCGGGGGTTGGGAAAAAAAAAAAAAATTTTGGGACAAAATAATTTAAAGAATTTTGAAACCCTTTTTTGGGGAAGGGAAGTTTAATAAAACCCGGGTTTGGGTTTTGCTTTTGGGCCCCCGGGCCAAAGGCCATTTTTTTAAAAGTTTTAACTTAAAATAAAAAAAGGGCCCCCGGACAATAAGAGAGTTGGGAAGAATTTTGTAACAAATTTGGGGTATAGAAAATTTAAATTTTTCAATCCCCCATTTTGAAAACAAAATTTAAATTGAAATATTTTTTTGTACACATTTTGATATTTTTTGTTAAAATTTTTTTCAACATTTTTTTCCCCCATAAAGTAAAATTTTCCGGGTTTGGGGGTTTTAATCCCCTCATTTGATGGGTCTAGTTAAAAAAGGTTATGAAAAAAACTGTGCCTGTTTAATCAGGGTTTTCCCCATTTTTTTGGTTTGTCCAACATAAATAAAGGCAGGCCTTCAGAACTTTTCAAAACCCAACGTTTTTTTAAATTAAGAAAAAGAAAAACTACATAAATTTTTTCGAAAATTTTGGTGAAAAATTTTTACCCTTTTGCCGATTGCTTATCACAACATAATAAGTTTTTAAATTTAAGAAATTAAATTTCCATAAGTATTAATTTATCTTTTAAAAATTGAACCAAATTAAAAATGGGTTTTTTAAAATTTTTTAATTTATCTAAATTTAGTTTTTTTTAAACAAACTTTCCTAGGTTAATTAGTCTGGATGTAATATTTTAAACCATAAATTGTGAATTTGTTTTTTTAAAGGGTTGAATTCTGTGAGTACAAATTTTAAGTTGTTAACAGCTTAATTTTTATATTTTTAAAATTTTAAAAAAGGGCAAAAAAATTTGAAAAAGCATAAAAACCTTTTAAATTTTTTGCTAAAAGTCCCAGAAATCCCTTTTACTCCCAACGGGGCCCAGAAATGTAATTTCAGTAGTTTATTTAGGCCCACAAAATAAACAAGAGAAAAAAAAAGGGAGAGGGGGAGAAAAAAGGTTTGGGGGCAAGTCAATTCAGATATCTTCAAAAGGGTGGGGTTTTGGAAAAAAATTTTGGGAAAGCAGGGGTCTGTAAGAGATTTTGGGTAAAATTTTGGTAAACGGGTTTTATGCACACAGGATGCACAAAAGGTAAAAGTTTATTTTGAAGGAGTAAAGGAAATGAAGAAATTTTTTTCTTGTTTTTTTCTCCCTAAACAAAATCAAGACATAAAACAGGTCCGGGAATGTTTAAAAAATCAGTTGGATTGACTTTTCAAGCCCATTTCCAAAAAAGGACTGTGAAAAAGATTAAAATTTTGGGGGATAAGGTCTTTTTGAAAAAACCCACAATCATTTCCAGACAAGGGTCCCCAAAACGGGTTTAAAAAAGACTAACCAATCGTAAACTACAATCACGGCCATGGAAAGTTCACACCCTAGGATAAGGTGAGACAGAAATTGAAACAGTTACTGAATCTGAAAGGGTTTGATTTGAGATGTGAGAGCTGAAATGGTAGGTAAAAACAGTCTCACAATTAAATTCCAGCAGGCATGCTAGTAAAGATGCCAGGGTTTGTTTAAACAAAAGTAGAAGAAAAGTCCCTGAAAAGTTTAAAAACAGGTACCAATTAATGTTGCAGCAACTGATTTGTCTATATGGTTTGATGGTAAAATTGATAAAACCCAAGAATGTGCCATCTACACTGGGATGTTAGAACTTTTCTTTAATGTGTTTGGGCTGAATGAATTATGAAACTACAGGAACAAGTACTAGACTCTTGGAGGGTGCTCAAAAAGTATATCTTCAAAAAACCTTAGCTGATAAAACATATTAAAATTAAACAGCCATCTCATTTATCATGTGTCAAAGTTGGCTTATGAAGACACTTATTTAAATTGTCCCCGAAGGATAAATCCTTGACATTTGACATTTTGTATGTTTGATGAACTTGAAATATCAGATGAAGTAAAAAGAAAAATTTTGCTTGAAACTTGGAATAATGACAGAAGATGAATGCCCTAAGTTTATCTGTAATCAAGAACCACCAAGCTCATTGTTCTCTTTTTATTCACAAATCAATGCAAAATTTCTGGCTGCAGTGAAATATTGGTAAATAAATTTCAATGCAAAAATGTGTTCATCAGATAGTAAGGAAATGTTTGAATTAGTCAAAAAGTTTAATTTGTGAGGTTTTTTTAGGAATTGTTTCAACAGTTCAATGACATATTAGAGCAGTCAAATGTCCCATCATTATGCTATCTGGTCTTGAAAACCTAGATTAAGCAACTCATGTATCAAAAACATATATGATACTGTGTCAAAAATCTGGTTTTTCAGGAATACGGGAGAACAAAAAGGTAAATTTAAAAAAATTAGTGGGGATCATATTTGTATTACGAACAAAAGTTTATTTTGATCAAGGGAAAAATTTAAAATGCAGCAGGGTAATAAAAATTTTGTTTTTAATAAAAATTTGGCTTTCATGATTTTTGGGTCAGTTTTGGATTTTGGTACAATATTGAAGCATAATTTTTCCGACCTTTTTTGTCTTTTAATTAGGTTACATCAAACCAAAGTTAAATTACAAAATTTTTACCAATTTTCATCATCTTGAAAAAATAAAAAAAAATTTTCAATTAAAAAGTTATCAAGTACAAAAGGATAGACACAGATTTTAACAGTGATTAATGAGATTAACAATTGGTTTTGAGACTTTTAAAGAAAATACTTCAACTTTAAATCTCTGTCCTTAGTTTTTTTCCACATACGAAAACCCATTTTTTAAAACATTTTAGAAACCTCCCTTATGAAAACTGTAGCAAACGTAGGGTATTAACAAGGTCGTAAACCTACACTTTTTTTAATTTTTCTTGAGAGAACCAGATCTTGAACAAATCCCTTTTAAATGTAAAGTGAGTGTGGGAAACCGCTGATGAAATTAAAAACACAACAATTCATCCCTTTTTTTTTGTATGTGCTTTTAGTTGATAGATTGCGAATTTAAAACCCTTTGAATTTTTAGTTTGAAGTTTTGAAAATAGTAATTATAAAAAATTTTTGTATTAAAAAAAATCTAAAAAATTAAAAAAAGAAACTGTGTTTTATGGAAAATAACCAAAAAATCTAAATTTATATCATCCAACATAACCCAAGGACTAGTCACGATTACCCTTGTTTCCAATCTCAGTAAAACTTGAGTTACGGCAGTGTAGGTTAACTTGACAATATAAATAACAGTCACCGTTAGAGATGAAGAGTTTAAAGTACATTAAGCTTGTTGCGGTCATAATGAGTTTGACAACATGGCAGAAGTTTGTTGATAGTCTTCCTGGTATTCCTCATACTGTAGATGTGATTGTAGAGAACTGTTATATAACAGGAGATGGTGAGGAGTTTAATGATGATCTGTTTACATTGACATCACAAGGACTTGGAGGAGAGAAGGGAAA